TCCTTAAACCTCATGAACCAACCTCTGCTAGCTTCAAACGTTTCTTCTGCAGCTTCCACACTTCTCTCAGCCTTTATAGAACTGAAGAGAGTCAAGGCCTTCCTCTGAATTAGGATTTGGCGTAAAGGATTATTCTGGCTGGTTGGACCTTCTATCCGGACCATTAAACTCTCCATACCAACAACAACGTTGTTTCACTGTCTTACCACAGCGTGCTCACTGGATTAACGTCCTTCAAGAACTTGGCCTTCGCGTTCACAATTTGGCTCTCGGTTTTGTCCAAGAGGCCTAGCTTTCAGCCTGTCTCGTCTTTTGACATGCCTTCCTCACTAAGCTTCATTTCTAGCGTTAGATTTTAAGTGAGAAATGCATGAGACTCTTCCTTTTACAGGAACGGGTACAGGCCACTGTGGGATTATTAATTGGCCTAATTTTCATATTGTTGAGTCTCAGAAAATAGGGAGGCCCAAGGAGAGGAAGAGAGATGGGGAAACAGCCGGTTGGGGAGGCAGTCAGAGTACATACAACATGTGTCAGTTAAACATGCCATTGTACATGGTTGCGGCTCATGGTGCCCAGAACACAGCAGTAACGTCAAAGGTCACTGACCACGGAGCACCATAACAAACACAGTGATAAATTTTGAAATATTGCTAGAATTACCTAAATGTGACGCAGACACAAAGTGAGCCCATGCCATTTGAAAAAAGGCACCGAAACTTCCAGTTAGCTGAACACGTGGAGGTGAAATGTGGCTTAATTTTGTGAGTTGAATTAGACAAGTCCCTGATCTTTCCTATTTGTTAAAGTCAGAATTTAGGATACTTTCTTTTATGAATTAGCATTAACTTAAACAAAGGAGCTTAATGAGATTCACCTGGCATGACTGGTAAGGTGATTATGTTTCAGAATTTACTGGAAAAGAAAGGTTCTTTTGTTTGTTATGCTTTCAAGGAGTAGAAAACCCGCGGTTGAAAATCAATACCGAAAGGGTCAAAGTGTGCTGGGGCGTGGTCGAGCTCCTTTGAAACAGACTGGTGGGGAAGAACTTTGTGTCCAAGTTCGGCCTGTGTCAGCAGCTGAGCCTCCGAATGAGACGCATGCTACAGAAAGAACACATGGGCTGTGGCCATTCAGCAACTGAGCACCTATCCCAGGCACTGCCACTGCAAGGATGAGGAAGACACACACAGTCCCTACTGTGCAGACGTGTTGTGCTGGGGTCCCAGGCACTGCCACTGCAAGGATGAGGAAGACACACACAGTCCCTACTGTGCAGACGTGTTACGCTGGGGTCCCAGGCACTGCCACTGCATTAAGGATGAGGAAGACACACACAGTCCCTACTCTGCAGACGTGTTGTGCTGGGGTTAGCAGAAAGTGGAAATGCAGGATTTTCTCATTTCAATACAGGGTGATCAAAGCTCGTACGCAGGATGTTCGGGGTGCTGTCGGAGCACATTGGGGGAGCACCTAAACTCGTTAGAACTAACTGATGATGAGTACAGCTTATGTTTGGAACTATTAGCAGGAATGATATAAAAAAGTTGGGTAAATGAAAATAGTGTACTATTTAGGTTAGCACAGAGTAGTAATGTAAATGAATTAGTTAGCATAAAAAATAATTTTTATGACCAAAGAAGAAAGAGACATGAGAAGATTTTAGTCTCACTGTTGAAGAGACACATTGCACACTATATAATTCTCATAAAAAACATAAGAACATATGTAAATGCAATGCATATGAAGCTGTAGAAAGAATAATATTGCACATTATTCACTTATTACTCTTTTTTTTTTTTTAATGAGACAGAGTCTCCCTCTGTCACCCAGGCTGGAGTGCAATGGCGTGATCTTGGCTCATTGAAACCTCCGCCTCCTGGGTTCAGGTGATTCTCCTACCTCAGCCTCCCGAATGGCTGGGACTACAGGTGCCTGGTACCATGCCCAGCTAATTTTGGTAATTTTGGTAGAGACCGGGTTTTGCCATGTTGGCCAGGCTGGTCTCAAACTCCTGACCTCAAGTGATCCACCTGCCTTGGCCTCCCAGAGTGCTGGGATTACAGGTGTGAGCCACTGCACCCGGCCTCACTTATTACTCTTGATAGCACAATTATAGGTACTTAGTAGACATTTAGTTAGAATTCAAGGAGATTCTGAGGGGTATAATTAGTTGAAATTGCAGTTAAGCAATTACTATTATCAGAAAACCACTTTCGTTTAACTTACTTCTAATGACCGAGACAGAGGAGCTGTACCAGGGCTGTATCCCACGTGAGGTCCCCATCAGAGAATCTGGGGCGGGACCATCCAGCCGCTTCCCTTACAGGGAAATAGGTTTCTCTTTCTGGTGAACTTCCCGACAGGCCCTTTAGGTTAGTGCTTTTGGTAAATCCAAGGAATGGAGTCTATTTTGGAATCCTGAAATACTCAAAGAGGGCTTTGTCTCCCAGGAAGGGCATCAGCTGAGATAACTCAAGTGGCATTTGAGAAGAAGCAGAAGCAGGTAGGTCACTCTCTGCCTCCCAGGAGCAGATCATAAGACCTCCTTTCAGAGGAACAGTCCTTATACCCAGAAGAAAGAAACATCCTTATCTCTGAAGACACAGGGACACAGAGAAGAATCTGAACACACAGGCCTCGCTGAGTTCCCCCAGTTCATCTCCGTGACAGCATACCCACTGTATCCAATTGTACCCATCCATGGCGTCCACTGCTCATCAAACCTAACTAAGCACAAGATACACAAGGTTTCCTGTTTCTTTGGGTCATTTTCTTATGAAGACTCCTGTGCCACATAAAACTTTTTAAATAAACGTGTATGCTTTTCTCTCGATCAGTACTTTGTTACGGGGGCATCGGCTGCAGGCCTAGTGATGGGTGAGGAAAAGAAACCTTTCTTCCCCTACAAAGGAATGAAAAAGAATATTTGGGTATATATATTCTTAACCCAACGAGAGAATCCGTTCCATGGGCCTTATTTCCTCCCTATGTTTTATTATTCATGGACAGACCCTCTACTCTTGATCCATTTGATCAAAAAGTCTGTGAAGACTGCGTCCTGGACTGTGGCTGTGGAGTGGAGTGTCTTGCAGCTGCGTGTGAAACTAGATACTTGTGGACTAGAGCTGCCGAGGGAGGAGAAGGATTGATGACCCCCCGCAGAAGCCATCCAGTGAGCTCTTAGGATGAGCTGATAAAGAATTTGGGAGGACTCTAGCTCTAGACTTTCTGGGACAATTTCCTTCTTCACAGCAGAGTTCAGGTCTCTTGCCCTTTGCCGTGGGAAAGGCATACTCTCCTGTTTCTCCTGCGAGGCTGTCTTCCTCATGGCTCAGTGGCAGTTCTTTGGCACAGTCAAAAATCAGGGCAATTCCCAGCATTTTATATGTTGTGCTGAGAATGAAGCTGTACACTCTGGGCAAGTAGGAATTAACTCTTAGGCACATGGGGCCTTTGAATTGCTAAAAGGCTCTCTTCTGGGCAACACTCATTATGGATTGTGATCAAGTTACAGAATGTTCATGTTGCTTTGCTTTCTTAATCAGCCTTGTTTGTGACTTCCGATATCTTTGATCAAGATTGCAAATTGACTTTAATTTTTGTGCTTATATGATAAGGAATGGTCTCTTTATTATTTCAAGTGAGCCATTTGTAGAATTAATTTAATCACCCATTCAGATCTACAGACTACAAAAATGAACGTTATATAGATATAGACACTGCGTTCATATAAAAAATTTCCAAATAGATATATCTGGGCTGCAATTGTCACGAAAGGAAGGCTCACTTTTAGAGGAAGCAAGATAATATATATTATAGGTTAAGAAAGATAAAATAACGGAAAAAAAGAGAATGGAAATAAACTGCAGCTCTTACTTTCTTGTTTCTTTGTCACTGGGTTTTGCAGAATCCAGCCCCATGAGAACGTTTTCCCCATTATTAGTCCCTAGTAGGCTTTGTAATTGGGAAAAAAAACCGCCCTTTGCTATGTTTTGGTTGTATAATCTTATTCTTGGATTTAGTCAAGATAAATTTAACAAATTCAAATCAAGATTGTAAAATATATATTTCTTCTGTCAAATTTGCCTCATAGTCTCCATCCCTCTTCAGATGCCAAAAATAACTCAGATGGTGGATATAGGATTTGTTCTTTGAGAAAACAAGCCTTGTTTTCTTACAAATGAGTAGAAGCTGCTGAAAGATAGGGCCCCTGCCTCACGCTTCCATCTTGTGTTCCTGGGAGCACTGTGGTGCTGAGATATTATCCATCGTTCTCCCTGATTTTTCTAAAGGTCCCTTGGCCTCCATGTGCTGGAGAGTGAGAGAGGATTTAAAGTCTTTCTGAGAGTGACTCCTCACCTTACTGTGGTTTTCTGTTACTTACTTTCCCAGCATCTGTGATCCTGTCTTTCTTTTCTCTAAGGTAATGAACACAAGGTAACTCCTCTTAAGAACAGGCAGTGCAGCATCAGGCGAGTATCAGATGGCAAGGGTTCCGATTATTCATCCTCTGATTTCCCCTTGACTTTTCTAAGAAAAGTGCAGCTTTATGTTTACTAGGACTAGAGAAATTCAGCTTTGCAGAAAGAACATAACATCTCAGTTGCTGTAGTCTTTGTTGTTAGTTATCATTTGTAACCAGGAGCTCGAATTTTCTTTCCTGGACCTGTCTGTTGTAGAGTGCAGCAGCAGGGTCTTCTCTGGTGCTGCAGGAGAAGGGATGCAGCCCTTCTCTCTGGGTTCTTTTGACCCAAGAAGCCTTCCACAATGTGAAATGTAGGCTCCATGAGCAAAGGTGTTTTTGCCTCTTTTGTTGGCTGTTCTGTACTGATGATGTGGGGAATAGTGCTTGGCACACAGTAGACCCTCAGGAAATATTTATGGAATGAATGAATAAATCCCCCATGATATAGGTTTATCGGACGCTTGACCTCCAATGACCTTCACCTGGGGAGACAATGTTGCCAGTGAGTGTCGTGGTTGCCTTTCTATTCCAGCTCTTTGTCCTGGGCAGAGCTTGCTGCACCTTCCAGTTTCAGTAATCAAGGAAGCGGAGTCCCTGCAATTCTTCAAGGAACCTTGAGAACTCAGGAGGTCCTGGGGTGGCTGCATCAATCCTGCAGACCAATGCCAATCAGCAGAGGGGCCATTCCCAGGGCCACATGGCTGGCTGAGTTGGGCCTTGGCCAGGTAAGATGCACAGCATGCATGCCTATGTGATTTAATTCTGAATGCCATAGACCTGGCAAGTCATAAAATAGCAACCAATAATTGTAAGTTAGAGGGCTCATTTCCTCCCAGAAATCTCAGTGTATGTGAAGATAGATTGGAATGTGTAAAGAAAAGCTAAGAAAGCAGATTTCTGATAAGAGCAGCGTGTGACTCGTACAGCAGTTCTGGATTACAGCCCGAAGGATGGAATGCTGACAGTTCCTTCTTTCTTACTTGTGATTGCTAGAATTTTATTTAGCGGATCGTTTTTGAGCCGATCTCAAAATGAGAAAATTCTTTGAGGAATTATGCGTAGTGTGAAGTATATTCTCTCCCTTGTTGCCCGTGGAGATGCCACTGGTGACAGGGCAGATTTCCCACTGCAGGGTCGATGGAGATGCTGCTGCTGTCTTTGGACATAATAGTTTATGACAAAGAGACCAAAATAATTCCTTTTTAGCCATGTGGTTGTCTGTAAATTTGCCTAGTTGGTCATCCAAAGTGATGACATTTAAGATATAGTTGATACACTGTTTATCTTAAAGAAACGTTTTAAAATTAATTTTTCAGACCTATGTAATATTTTATCTTTTCTGTTTAATAATATCCAAATGTGCTTTTGTGACGCACAGGACACGTGTGTTTCTTCATAAATCAGTCAGATAGCTTTGAAAGTATAATATATTACAAGCATGTAGCAAAGACCCTCAAAACACAATTATTGAAGCAGTATAAAAAGGTGAATTTGCTTCAGTTTTGGGTTTTTAATAGACTTCACTGTTATGTAGTGAAGACAGAAGTTTGCCATGGAAGTCTCTGGTTAAGAGCCAAGACTTTTTCTCGTGTATCATTTCAGATCCTGTCATCTCTATCTGATCTTTAGGGTAGACTATGTACATTCAGAGTGTTGAGTAAAATTATTAGAAAATATAATACCTGTAACATTATTCTTTATACCCTTTAAGTAAATATGCTGGCACATGAATTCACAATTTAAAACTCTGACTTTGTAAGACATTTGCATGTATCTCCAATGAAGATATTGTTGGACTTGCATTCTTTGTGCATGATTTGTGACAAAATTATGAGACCTTTACATTTGTGGAAATAAAACACATAAAGTTATTTCAAAATTCACATCAAGTCCATCACTGTGTTCTGTCAATCTTATCTCTAAATATTTCTCAGATTTCTTCATTTACTTTCATTTCTACTCCCACAACCAGAGTCCAGATCACCATCATTCCTCACTCTCCAGACTCCTGGAATATAGTCCCATTCTCCATGCCTCCAAGTAATTAATGACACAGAAAAAGCACATTATGTAAAAAAAAGTAGGAGTCCAGATTCAACATGCACGTGGATTGTAATGAAAACACACTAAAATGTTAACAGTGAAAGAATCAGCAGTTATATTTATTTTGCTCTTTTATACTTTTTAATGTTTTCTAAATGTTCTATAATAAGCATGAATTATTTAAAAAATTTTATTAAGGTGCATTCTCATTTAAAAAAATTCAAGGCTGTACATGGTAGCTCACGCCTGTAATCCCAGCACTTTAGGAGGCCAAGGCAGGCAGATCACGGGGTCAGCAGACCAAGACCAGCCTGGCCAACATGATGAAACCCTGTCTCTACTAAAAAATACAAAAATTAGCCGGGCGTGGTGGCACACGCCTGTAATCCCAGCTACTTAGGAGACTGAGGCAGGAGAATGGTGTGAACCCCAGAAGTGGAGCTTGCAATGAACCGAGATCGCGCCACTGCACTCCAGCCTGGGCGACAGAGTGAGACTCTGTCTCAAAAAAAAAAAAAAAACCCCGAAGTGAAAGTGAAAACAGATACCATCTAAAATCTACTACTTAGAAGTTCTCCTTATGAAATTAGGTGAACGTCATGTCAAACATCTTATTGTTTCTCTCCGTGTATCTTCTCACAGGCACGTGCATACGCTTACACACACAGAGAGGGTGAAGAACGGCTACTTAGCGAGTTCGAGACCGGCAAAAAGTAAAATTTTATATGTACAAGATCAAACTATGCATCATCTTAAAAAGATTAAAATGTATTATGTTAACAATCTGTACCTAAAAAATTAAGCCTTATGCAAGGTGTCAGCTATTGAAATGAAAGCATCAGGTGACCTCAGCTTTTTATGTTGTGGACTTAGCCACACGCTGTGCCCAGCTCTGTTCCAGTTCTTTCCTCTTGCCTTTGGCTCCTACCACTCCGTCGTAGGCTTGACTTCTAGAAGAAACACAGCTAACCTGCCAGGGCTTTAGACCTGATCTGCCTTTCTTAGGGAGAGAGAGATGGAAAGAAAGAGATGGCTGCTTCTTTGCAGAAACACGTCAGCTGCCTTCTTCTCAATTTCCCTGGACAATATTTATGTTCATTCTCCCACCAGTGAGCAGGTAGGTGCCTGAATGGGTAGCCCATTCTCACGGGTAGCCCATTCTTACTAAAATAAAATGTTGAACTCCTTACGTAAAACATTTTGAATAAAAACAGTTGATCAAAAGGAATAAAAAACATTTTTGAGTGAAAACAATTGATCAAAAAGAACAAAATGTGCAGCTTTTCAAATTCTACAGACCAGGTGAATTTAGTAGAGAATGAACAAAGTAGTTTACAATATAAAGATTTCTGAATTCAGTGGTGTGTGTGTTCACTGCCCCGAAGAAATGAAAACAGAAAACATTGAGAACCAGTTAACGGGACAATCAGCAGAGAGTCTCTCTGTTTCCTTTTCACCTGCTACTTGGTCTTCATAAGACTGTCTCAGTTCCACCATCCTGGTCTGAAAGCCACTTTGTTGCACATGGCAGTGCGTTGACATCAGCAAGAGCCAGTCTTTGCAGATCTTTGCTCTGCAAATTACTACCAAGTGTGACTGGGTATAGCCCTTAAGCACTGCACCCCAATTCCCCAGTCTGCAATATGGAAATAATAAAATCTAACTCTGAGACATAATTCAAATTATGAAAAGATACATTACAGTAGGTTATAAACAAAGGTTCGTTCTCTTTCCTGCCTTTTATCATCTAATCTAGTTTCTTTGGAGGAGAGAGGGAGCTTGTGTGTTTCAAATATGTAACTTATAAATAATATGCTACTGAATTAAAGACTGGGTCTAAAATTTTGTTTCTAAATTGATGATTTTGATCCACATATTTTGTATGATTTCTTTCAGAGTTGGATTTATTGTCATCATCTAGTTTTTGTGCTTTACGTTTTTCCTCCTGTTACTATGTTTGTCCTTTTCTTTCCTTTCTTTCCCTTTCCCTCTTTTCTTTCTCCTCCCTTCTCTCCTTCCTTTCCCTCTTTCTCCTCTTCTCCTCCTTCCTTTCCTTCCTTCTTTCCCTTCCCTTCCTCCCTCCCTCCCTCCCTCTTTCTTTCTTCTTTCTTTCTTTCTTTTCTTTCTCTTTTTTCTTTCTTTCTTTCTTTCTTTCTTTCTTTCTTTCTTCTTTCCTTCCTTCCTTCCTTCCTTCCTTCTTCCTTCCTTCCTTCCTTCCCTTCCTTTCCTTCCTTCCTATTCCTTTCCTTCCTTCCTTCCTCCTCCTCCTTCCCTTCCTCCTTCCTTCCTTCCTTCCTCCTCCTTCCTTCTTTCTTCCTTCTTCCTTCTTTCCTTTCTTTCTTTCTTTCTTTCTTTCCTTCTTTCTCTTTTTTGACTAAATTTTGATTTTTAAATTATTTTTACCCTCTCTACTCATTTGGAAGCCATAAATCCTTTTTCTAATCATTCTGTGGTTGCTCTTAATAAAATCCAAAATGAATCTGTTCTCCTCCCTAGCAATGTTGTATCTTAATTCTCATCAATTGCCTCCTGCTTCACATTGTATTTTTGTGCATTATTTAGATTCTGCCTCCACATATTTACACTGTTTTTATTATTTCATTTATACCAGTTGCCTTGTTTATTGTTCCTTTTTTTCATCCCAGATCCTTTTTATGGAATCATTTTACTTGTATCTGAAGTATTTCCTTTAGTAATTCCTTTAGCAAGAGTCTGATTATATTAAACACAGATTCTGCTTGCCTAAAATGCATTTATTGTGTCCTAATTATGACGCAATAGTTTGCTGAGCAAACATCTTGAGAGGGATGCTGTCTTCTGTCAGAATTTTAGGCTAGGGCTTTGTTCCGGATCCACTGATACTGTTGGGAAAAATTGTTTTTCATATAACTGCTATTTCATGGAAGGTAAAGTTTTTACTCTGGCTGTTTTTAAGATCTTTATTTTTTTTTTTTTTAATTTTGGTGGCCTGGAGTTGAAGTTTGTGCCTAGATGTGAGTTTCTTTTCATCTAATCTGCTTAGGAATGTTTGGTTTCTCTTATTTCTCCATCTTCACCTCCTTTTTATAGATTTTTAATTTTTAATTTTATAGAGATGGGGTTTTGCTATGTTGACTGGGCTGGTCTTAAACTCCTGGGCTCAAGCAATCCACCTACCTTGGCCTCCCAAAGTGCTGGAATTACAGGTGTGAGCCACCACACCCAGCCAATCCTCGCCTTCTGGCCACTCTTCAGAACCTGTCGTGTCTTTGAGGGCTGCTCTTCATGTATCTTAACCTTCTTTCATATTTTGCATTTCATTATCTCCATTATGTCTCTGAGCTTCGTTCTAGTAATTTCTCTATCAGTCATTATCTTCTTAGCTACATTAATCTTTTGTTTATCTTACCTATGGAATTTTTAATTTGAGTGATTACATTTTCTGTTTGAGAGGTTCTTTTTGATTCGTTTTTCAAATAGCCTGATTTTTTTGGTATAGCATTTTGTTTCTAGTTCATAATTTCAATTTCTTTTTTGAATAATTTTAAAAATACTTATTTTATAGTTTGTATCCAATATTTTTATACTTGAAAGTCCTTGGTGGTTTATTTCTGCTGTTGGTTGTTTCTGCTAACTCTTGTATTTTGCTTTTTTAAAAATATATTTTGGATTAAGCTCACATTTAAATGTCTGGGCTTTATGTGCAAGAATCTGTCAAGGTTTAGGTTGAGGGTGCACCTTCTGCAGAGAATTTGCGTTTTCGTTTCTTGAGCATTCCAAAGCATAACCAAGTCAAGGTTCTGTAAAATAGTTTCTTGGTTTGAACTTTCCTGGAATTACCAGGTAGTATGATTTTAAACCCAACTCCAGAGTGTGTCAACTGTGTAGTTATTGTCATGAAAATCATCTATTTTTGTCACTCTGAGTCCAAACTAAGAATGGCATTTTTGGGTCATCTTTTGTCATCTTTTTAAATGGTGGATCTTTTGTCATCTTTTTAAACATCTGGAATTACAGGTATGAGCCACCATGCCCAGTCATTATATATCTTTCTATATAATCTATATAAAGTATATAAACATTTACATCAATTTTATGGGCGCTGGCTTTATTCGTAGGCCTTACTTGTAACTTCCTCTTTGGGCTGAGATCATGCCTCTCCTCCGGTCCCCTGTACCACGCGAAATGCAAGCCTTCAGGCCCAGAGGCTGCTGCCTGATCACTCCACAGCCGCAGTGATAGCTCACCATTCGGAATTTAAGTCTTCTTTTTATTTTTTGGCCTGTAAATATTTTTATTCCCTTTAAAGTTAATTATATTATTATTATTTCTTGCCTAGCTAAATGTTTTAAAGATTTAGAAATATTTATATAATATTTATTTCTATATATTGTATATGGCGAAAATTTTTCAGAAAACTTTTACCAAGATAGACTCCAAAATACAAAACAGTCTCTCAATCTATCTCACCCTCTTCTTTAGCCTCTTTCCAATCCATTTTCTGGCAAGCAGCCAAAGTGATGTTAAGTGAAAATAGGATCATACTGTTACTGGAAGGAGGGCCTTGAGTTTTGTCAGTTGTCCAGGTTCTTTGGTGTTTTGAACAAGGAATTGGACAAAACCCGCAAAGCAACAAAGGAATGAGACACAAGAACAAAGCAGTGACAGCTGAATTCACTGAAGCAAGACAGCCCTCCACAGGGTGGGGCAGGAGCCCGTTTTCTGGGTTTGAAGTACCCCTGTTGAGGCTCCTGTCAGTTGCCTCTTGTCTGGATGAAGGGTTTGGGGACCCTGGCTAATTAAGGGCTGAGGTGAACTGGTGGCCTCTTCACATGGAGGGGTGGCCCGT